AATGGTAATCTTTATAACATCAACAAAATACAAGACTCGCCAGCGGCGTGAAATAGGTAAACCACTCCTAGTGATGGACTACTTAGACAGCATATTACTCCCACTTACAATAGTGTCTAACGTATTTATGAGGATTGTGACATACCTATTAGTGTTCATAGGTACGGTATATAACAGCTTTATCGCCATACCTAGGACGGAGAACTAGAAGTCAACTGATCGAGTTCAAATCTTTAATGATAATCTGGTTGTTTTAAAATATGAAAAATATATAAACATTCACAGTTGAACTCGTGTTAAAGTTTATTTTGCAAAAGGGTCGAGTGGTGTTTAAGAGAGTGACGCATTGCACCGTCTCAAGTTGACATCCTCGGCTGACATAAAGTGATAAGGCTATATTGAAGCCATTGTTAGGTAAGCTGCGAAGAAATTCAGTTCACTGTGCCGTGCTAAACAATTTTCTCGCCAGAATCTATTTTACATATCTATAAACCTATAATTCGTCCATGCTTAGATTATTGCTGCTACGTATTATCCGGCGCTCCTCTTATATATCTAGAAATTATTTAGGAATAACCTAATATCGATTATTTTATTAATAAGCTAAGCTTTGTTATTTAATTAATAAGCTAAGCTCGATTATTCAATTAACTAAGCACGATTATTTTATTAATAACCTAAGATAGAGTAATTAATAAACCAAGCTCGATTACTTAATAAGCTAAGCTTCATTATTTAATTAATAAGCTAAGCTCGATTATTTGATTAATACGCCATGCTCGATTATTTAATTCATAAGCACGATTATTTAGTTAAAAAGCTAAACCCGATTATTTAATTAATAATGTAAGCTCCATTATTTAATTAATAAACTAAGCTTGATTATTTAATTAATAAGCTAAGCTCGATTATTTAATTAATAATTTAAACTCCATTATTTAATTAATAAGCTAAGCTTGATTATTTAATTAGTAAGCAAAGCTCGATTATTTAATTAGTGAACTAAGCATGATTATTTAATTAATAAGCTAGGCTCGATTATTTTTTAATAAGCTAAGATCGAATAATTAATACACCAAGCTCGATTAGTAAATTAATAAACTAAGATTATCATTAAATTAATAAGCAAAGCTCGATTATTTAATTAATAAGCTAAGATCAATTATTTAATTACTACGCAATGCTCGATTATTTAATATATAATCTAATCTCGATTATTTAATTAATAAGCTAATCTCGATTATTTAATTAAAGTGTTGTCGGTTAAAATATATGAAATCTTTCGATTAAATCAATTTTTTAAGAAAATACATTTCTCAAGTTCATTAGCTGTTATACCTCTTTCCAGTATTAATGATGGTTTCTTTCACGTCCTTGTATTTTATCTAATGTGGAACGTCAACATCTTTCCGAATTATATGTGCTATCTATTTTAGCTGTTGTTGCCGTTGAAAGCCGCCGAGTGGTACGCTTTCTGCTGCTTGATACATTTCTTTAATTGTGATTCTTTAGCGTCTGTCCATAAGCTGCACTCGCTCAAAGACATTTTAACCATTGGTCCGAGAGAACATGGCACGTGGAACTAGAACAGTCTACCCCAGCGAGCGAAATAAAGGGTTCATTCCAACCACCTGAAAAAGGCCGGAGCGTACAACGGCCGAAACGTCGTAATAAATGTGGCGACAAAGATGAGGACAATAGACCGAATAATGTAAATAGTGTATATAATACCTCATCTCAGAAATATAGACAGATACTGAAGGGCCGAAACGTTGTAATAAATATGGCGACAAAGATGAGGACAATAGTCCGAATAATGTAAATAGTGTACATAATACCTCATCTCAGAAATATAGACAGATACTGAACAATTGCTTTCATATTTATTTCTTTATAAATTAGTAAATGATAAATATTGCATTGTATGAGTTTTAATTGTACGAGTTTTTAGAATGTTGTAAATATAGAATTATTCTTGCAAATAGTCTAATAGTGTTTAATATTTTTGTAGTAAATATGTAAATTCACTTTTATCATTTGATTAGATTTCATTACAATTCTAATCATCGCTTTTAAAAACAATATTGCCAAGTACATAAGATAGCTAAACTAATAGCGGTGTTAATGGAAAAACCGTCCCTATGAAACCACTTTTTTAGGCGTAGGAAGGTCCAAGTTTGTCGTTCTGCTTCATACTTGAGTCATATGATGCAGTTTTTTCTTGGTAAAACATATCACACCTATAGAAATCATATGGTAAAACATTATATCACACCTATAAAACACCATATCAAACCTATAAAACATCATGGGTTAAAGCATCATATCACGCATATAAAATATAACATCATACCTATATTACTACAAACCCATAAAACATTAGCACACCTACAAAACATCATATGGTAAAACATCAAATCACACCTATAAAACATCACATCACACCTATAAAAGATCATATGGTAAAACATCATATCACACCTATAAAACATCACATCACACCTATAAAACATCATATGGTAAAACATCATATCACACCTATAAAACATCATATGGTAAAAATTCATATCACACCTACAAAACAACATACCACAGTTATAAAACATCTTATTACACCAATAAAACATCATATGCTAAAACATCATATCACACCTATAAAACATCATATGGTAAAACATTATGTCACACCTATAAAGCATCATAGCTTAAAACATCATATCACGCATATAAAACATAACATCACAATTATATGATTACAAACCTATAAAACATATCACACCTATAAAGCATCAAACCTATAAAGCATCATATCACACCTATAAAACATCATATACTAAACACTATATCAAACTTATAAAACATCATATGGTAAAACATCATATCACGCCTATAAAACATCATACCTCACCTATAAAACGTATCACACCTATAAAACATCATACTACACTTATAAAATATATCGCAGCTATAAAACAACATATCTTAAACATCATATCACACCTATAAAACATATCACAGATATAAAACATAATACCACACCAATAAAAAACCATATGGTAGACATCATATCACACACATAAAACATCATATCACACCTATAAAATATCATATGTTAATGCATCATATCACACTCCGACATCAGTATCCAAAATCAACCCCAAAATTGATGTTGAAACGCCATGGGCGAGATTAGGGAGAACGCAACAAAGCAGCAGTTGGCAATCCCGAAATTTTAGAGACTGTTTTGATGAGATGAAGGGTAACGGTGAGAAGTGTGTGAAAGCCAAAGAGAGAGAGAGAGAGAGAGAGAGAGTTAGGTCTTAATAGGAAATGGCTGGATACTTTGCGGACATTTATCAAGTTTATCTTTGGTTTGGCACAGGGCCAAGTCCTCGGTAATAAGGATAGGAAATAAAATTAAATAGCGCTGCTCCCATCATCAATAGCAAATGGAACTAAATTTACTGACAGAAATCTGGCTTCCCAATCCTAAATTTATTTCCATCCCAAACCCACGCAAATTTCGCCAAAAGCTTATTAATATATCTTCATAATTCATTTTGAAATCGATTTTGAAAATGGTTTCAGGTTTGAAATTAATATTTAAAATTGAAAATATAAAAGGGAATATAGAATTGGGAATTTATCTGATTGGTTTCTAAAGATAAACGTAACCCCAATATATATATATATATATATATATATATATATATATATATATATATAGATATGTGTGTGAGAGAGAGAGAGAGAGAGAGAGAGAGAGTGTGTGTGTGTGCTTGTGTGTGTGCGTGTGAGTGTATCTGTACACTTCTGTGATTATATATCACAGGGGAGGGGTCTTGTTTGGTTGCATCATTTATAAGTACTTTTAAACAGCCATATAGAATTAGGTTATTAAATGCATTTTATAGAGGGGGGCATGAATAATTGGAAATAGAGAGGATCGGATGGAGCAGAGAGTTAAGTAAGGGAAGATTTGGGGGGGGGAGAAATGAGTTTGCAACGAAAAGCAGAAGACGACGTACGTAACGGAAATAGGGGAAATAAAGAGAATAAAGAGAATGAGCAAAATCTGATAGAAAGAAAGAAAAGAAAAGAAAAGAAAAGGAAGGAAGGAAGGAAGGAAGGAAGGAAGGAAGGAAGGAAGATTAAACAAAGATGGAAGAACGCGAATAAGACCCGAAAGATAGGAAAGTAGACAGAGAAAGAAAGAAGAAAGATTGTACCAACTAAGAATGGAATAAGTTAGAAAACTGGCGGGAAAAATATATGTAAAATGACATAGAAAAAAGAAAAGGAAGAAAAAAAGAGAAGAAGCTGGGAATGCGACAGGAAGAAAAAATAAAGAGAGAAAAAGAAACATGAGTTCAAAAGAAAGTAAAAACGAAGTGAGAAAGTGAATGCAAGTCAGAAAAGAAAAGGAATTACCGAGAAAGGAGAGCACGAAATACATTTTAAATGATGGTGGAAAATGAATGAATGAATAAAGGAAGGAAGGAATGAAGGAAAAAAAGTTTTAACTATTAAGAAACAGAAAAGAAATGAATGAAGGAAAGAAAGCTACCGATAAAGGTCAAAAGACAAAAAAAAAAGAAAAGAAAAAATAAAGAAAACAAGAAATAAGGAAAAATAAAAGCAAAAAAATAATGAGGAAGAAAAAAGAAAGAAAACGGAAATAAGAGAAAAGAAAAGCAGGAAAGAAATAGAGAAAGTGAAAGAGATAGAGAGAGACTGTGTGTGTGTGGATGTGTGTGAAAGAAGAGGGAGGGGAATAGAAGAAAAGAGAAAAAGAAAGCATGAAGTAACAATTATAGGGGAATAAAGTATTGTTGAAAAAAGGAAACCAGGTGAAAATGAAAAATAACGGAAAAGAAAAGAAAAAAGCGATAAAAAGGAAGGATAAAAAAGAGTCATAATTAGTTAAGAAAAAAGTAAACGAAAAGAAGGAAAAAATTAAATAAAAAAAGAAAATCTTAATAAAACGTAAAGAAGGTAAATTAAACGTAGCGAGAAAGGGGAAGAAAGAGAGTTAAAGAAGAAAGAAGAGGAAAATGAAAAAAGGAATTAACAGAAAAGAGTGAAATATTAAAGACTAAAGAAGAAAAGCAATTAGAAAGAGTGAAAAGAGTCAAATGGGGATAATATTGAAGGCAAAAAATGAAAAAATAAAAAACATGGAAAAAAGAGAATGAAGAAGAAGAAAGAAAGAAAGAAAGAAAGAAAGAAAGAAAGAAGAAGAAAGAATGAAATAAGAAAAAGAAACCATGAGATAAAGAAAGAAGGAAAGGAAGCAAGCGAACTGAAGGAGAGGAAAAAATAATGAAACGGTAAAAAGAGAGGAAGGAAGAAAGATGAAAAAAGAAAGAAAGAAAAAACGACAGTAAACGGCACAGTAGAAAGAAAGAGTTTAAAATGAAGGAAATTAAAAATATGAAACAAAAGAAAGGAAAAATGAAAACGTAGAAATGAAACAAACAGAAAAAGAAGAAAAAAATGACAACAAAAAAGAAAGACAAAACAAAGAAGAATTAAAAGAAAATATAAAATAACGAAGGAGAAAGCAACAAAAAACATATCAAGTAATTAAAAGAAAGAATAAACGATGAGATACAAACAAGAAAGAAAGAAAGAAAGAAAGAAAGAAAGAAAGAAAGATGATTAAAAATCGTAAAGAAATGATAGGGTGTAAACACATAGAGAGAGGAGATGAGAAAGAGCTGAAGTAAAGAAGAATAGACAGAGTAAAGTGGAGACGAAGAGAAGAATAATGGAGAAAGAGAATGTAAGCGAAAGAAGCAAAATTATTTTGCAGAAAAATCTAGGTAGGAGGAGATGGAGAGGAAAGCGTGAGTTGTGATGAAAAGGAAAAGTTAATATAAAGAGGAAGTGAGAGGAAGTTATAGGGTAAATTCGAGCGTGATAGATAAAGAGATTAAAAAAAGAAAAAAAAAAGAAAAGAAAATGGCGCCCAGAAGAGGTTTGTGACAGACAGAAAAATAAAGAAACAGAGAAAACAAAGTTTGAGAAAGGAGGCTAGAGAGATTAAGTTACAGAGAGAGTGAAAGTGCAAGAAAGAGAGAAGAAAAAAAAAAGAGAGCGAGTGAGAATGAAAAAGATAGAGAGAAGTGTGAGGCTAGGAAAGATAAATAGAGACAGATAGGCAATAAGTGAGAGAGGGAGAAAAGATGTACGTTAAAGAAGAAGTGAAAGGAAACAAAGCCGATGTTTAGGCGAGCAGAAAATAATTTTAATGAAATTTCAATTACTTACCCGACTCTTCAACGATTTTTTAAATTAATTAATTTTAGATTAAAATCCACACGCGGTTGATTTGCACGTGTAATTTGCATAATAATTATTTCAGGAATTAAAATTATATCTATGAATATTTAATAAAAAATCACATATACACGAACATATATATATATATATATATAAATGTAATTTAATATATATAGGTGTGTATATATGGAACATATATGCGTATATATAAGATAATTATATGTCATATAACTGTAATTAGATATATATGGATGAGTGGATATAAAACATATATATATATATATATATATATATATATATATATATATATATATATATATATATTTGTTTATATATACGTATGTATGTATTATATAGACATGTAACGATGTTTGTGAGAATTTATTGGTTTGTTTAAATGAATTAAATTTGTTTTCCAATACATACAACGTATGTATATATATATATACATGTAACGATGTTTGTGTGTGTGTGTGTGTATGTGTGTGTGTGTATATAAATACCAAACTGAATTAAATTTGTTTTACTAATAGGATACACACACACAGATCTATTCATGCAAATACGCTATATATATATATATATATATATATATATATATATATATATATATATATATATATATATATGTGTGTGTGTGTGTGTGTGTGTGTGTGTGTGTGTGTGTGTATATATATATATACATATATATATATATATATGTATATATATAAATGTGTATATATATATGTATATAAGATTATATATATACAAAATAATATTTTACATGCAATATATATATATATATATATATATATAAGATATATTATATATATATATATATATATATATATATATATATATATATATATATAATATATATATATATATCAAACCAATAAAAATAATTAAGCCGTTGTAATAAATGTAAAAAAGAATATCAATATTCGAAAATATAGAGAAATATAAGAAGTGATATATATAAATATATATATATATATATATATATATATATATATATATATATATATATATATATATGTGTGTGTGTGTGTGTTGAACAATAAGTTTATCCAGGCACAGTTATTAGCTGAATTCTGATTTGAAATTTTCAATGTATATTATTCGATGTACGTAATTAATAGAAGCGATGGATTGACAAAGTTGATGTTTATGTGGGAAAAAAAAATTACAATTTGTTCTGTAAAATATTAGGTTGTGTCATGAATAATTTTCTCTCTTTGTTCATCAAACATGAATAAAGTACAATTACATTTTTACTCAATTGCAAATTCACCATTATTTGCATTGGCTTGTACAACGTCTTTCTTGTTGACAAACACATTTTGACCAAACATTTATGGACACGTTCCAGCTGTTGGAGTTATAAATGTGCATATTGTGTTTCACTGCATTCAAAGAACTCTAAATGATTCCAAGAACACGCACATTACGTTACTTTTTATTATTTTTTTACGCCAAGCAAGGCAACAAATCCACTAACATGAAGGGGGTTACTTAGTGTGAAAGATTAGAAGAAAAGCATTTTTAAGGATCGACAATAGTAAGAGAACAGCATTTAAGGGAACAAAATAACGCTTGACATTGTCTTTAAAGTTTTAAGAAAAACCTTGTTGGAAAGCAAGAATCCGGAAGAAAGTTCCACAAGCAAGAAGTGCCAGAAAAGAAACTGTTAGCATAGAACTTACGGTTACATCTAACTATTTCGACTGTAAAATGATGAGATCTTGTCGACAATCTCGTAATGCACTTAAAATCATAGAGTCTAGGTACCACAGAGGCGAGTTCAGCAAAACATTTGCGATGAAATTATTTCCAGAAAAGTCATAAGAAAACTATGTGGTAGCGGGAAAATGACTGGTGTTGAGATGCCATGCATATAAGATAATATAACATTGCAGATGCTTCTTTTATTTTATCAAGGATCTCTAAATATATAACAGGAGTGCCAGACCACATGTAGCAGGAATATCCAAAGCATTGACGAACGGTAGACTCGTAAATATGTAAAATAGATTCTGTCGAGAAAAAACACGACACACCAACAGAAATAGCAATTGGTTCTATGTAATCATTCCGCTTCATGTCGGTGAGAAACGTTAGTTCGAGAAAGTACAACGAGTCGCTCGTCTGGAGGATAGCATCAGCCATGCTGATGTAAGACAAAAAGGTTTATCCCAAACAATTAATAGAGAGCAGGTTTGTTTTCGAGGTGTTAAAATTAACAAGACATTCCCTGTCCCGGTTAACAACAAAATCTATGTCATATTTGTTTTTAGATGAGCTGCCAATTTGACCTTATCGAACCGCTCAGATTTACTTTTAAGAGAGGAATAAATGGCTGTGTCATCAATATAAGAACCGCACGGGGAAGATTGTTTCTTTCCTGGAGCCCAGCTTTTGAGGTCGCTTGTTGAGATTTATCCATGTCAATCGTTTACGTCGAATATTGTCTGTTAACCTACTCCAAATTGATATTAACTAGCACGTATGACTTGTACAAAAAATGAAACATGTGTTATTAGAATTAGATCCCAAAACGAAAATTACTTATGTTTCAATCTAATAGATATTTTTATTGTTTTGTGCGTTCAGTGATGATCTGCCTACATGCGATTCTGAGGGAACTAGAAGTACCCGGATTAATTACTGCTGTCCACAGTCTTAACAACATAAGACATACAGATGACACTGTGCTGATACACAGACACAGAAAGACAACTTCGAAAACGCATACAGAAGATAGTGAAGGAAAGAGAGAAGAAAGGATTAAACATCAACTACAAGAAGAGAGAATGCATAGTTGTCCGCAAAAGGGACAACTCAACATTCAAATTACAAATTGGGGATACCAAAATCAAACAAGTATAAAAAATTTAAATATCTGGGAAGTATTCCCGACCTTTAAATAGCATTTCTTTCTTAATTTTATATCCATAGCTATCGTTGTTTAGTTCATATGTAAGGGTTATTAACGATAGACAAAACAAAAGCTGAGACAGGATGTCTCCTTGAAAGATTCCACGTCGGATATTCAAGCGGTTGGAAGTGGCAATGCCTCTTGTGCGATTTAGGTAAAATATGGTTTTCCATATTCCCATGCTGTGTTTAAGGAAATTAACAACTACGAAAGACACTTTATATATTGCCAAAGTCTTAAGAATCCAAGATTTTGGTACACTATCAAAGGATTTACATTAATCAATCCACGTAGTGCTAAGATTCCTCTATATTTTCCTGTAATTTTCCTGGATCATTTTGTTTATCAGTAGTTGATCTTTGCAACCGAGGTTGGAAATAATCCAGGTTTGGTGACCAGGTGTCTCTTCGTTGTTGGAAATGTTTGTTCCAGTGACAGATTTTTCGGTCTCAGGCTGGTTCCTCTCTGGGGTACGCGACTCTTGATCCGAGTAACAGCCAATCTGGTATGGGTATTTGTTCGTGATCATTGAGATTTGTAATTTTTTTTTGCGTTTTATCTTGGACCGCTACGGGTCAATTTTGTTCAAGTTTCCAGCTTCAGGACGACTGTCGACCAAGGCTAAGGTCCTGCCGATGAGATAGAGCAGATGTTCTTGGTTCAAGATATCGTCATCTAGTACTGTATTCATTGGGGTAGCATAAGGGGTATGGAAATGGACGACTGTCGACCAAGGCTAAAGAGCTCGTCCTGCCGATGAGATAGGTGGGGTGCATATTCAGATGTTCTTGGTTCAAGATATCGTCATCTAGTACTGTATTCATTGGGGTAGCATAAGGGGTATGGAAATGGCATTGACTATAATAAGTTTTAACTTAGTGCAAATCGCTGTGACCACTACCAGATGAAATGTCAGAGAAGGACATACTTTTACATTGAGGATTATCACAAAAAGTTAAATTTAATTTAAAATGAAAAAAAAAAATTACAGTTAAATAAAGTCAAAGAGACTTAAAATAAAGTAAACAAAAGAAAAATGTAATTTCAAATTGTCTCAAATTTAGCATAGCTTACATGTTGAACGGCAGACACAGGATGTCATCCGACAAATATTCAACTTTCTGACGCCAATGAGAGAGATAGTTATCAAATTTGATAGGGGAGATCAGCCCCCCCCTCCTCCACACAAACACACTTATAAAAGTTAACGGAAGGATCATCAAATAATTCATTAAAACATAGGAAAGAAACAAAGTAAAAAGAAAATAGATTTTACATTTGGGGTCATTTAGCAATCTCCTAGTCCCGAAAATTAAAATTCTCACTCAAAGAAAGAAGTCATGCAAAAAGTAGATTTTCGGATTAGTGAACT